AACCCCATTCTGCTGTGGGGACTCAGGCAGTGTCCAGGACTGGGTGATGCCCTGTTCGCCGCAAAATCCGCCGAGAATGCCGGAGCGAAACTCGCCCCCACGGTCGGAGTGGAGACAACTGACTCGACGACCTCGAGTGCCCTCAGTGGCTAGAAGCCACCTGATCACCGTAGCAGTCACCTCAGACTTCTTCGCAAGAGGGAACACTGTGGTGTACCCGGAGAAGTCGTCGACGACCACCAGAAATTAACGCTCCCTCCCAGACCCCTGCGTCGGGGCAGGGCCCCAGACGTCCAAGTGGAGAGTCTCGAAGGGAGCGGTGGCCGGACGAAGGGAGGAGGAGTGGGGAGTGGCGCATAAGCGACCAGCGACGCAAGGAGAGCAAGGAGGGGCAAGCAAGAGAGGGAGCGACGGGAAGGTGCGTGGGAGACCTGTGACGAGTCCCTGACTGAGCATGCCACGAAGGCGAGGGATCGACGGGTGGCCAAGACGGTGGTGCCACAGGACGGTGCGGTGGGCGAGAGAGCGACAGGAGCAAGACGCGGCGACTGGACTGGACACAGCGACACGACTGGAGACCTGGGCCGAAGGGGACGCAACGACCTGAGGGGAGGACGCGACCGGGAAGCGCTCGGTGTGGAGAACGTAGAGACCGGAGCGGGGCTCCCTGGTGAACGTGGCCAGAACCGCACATGTGGTAGCGTCAGTACAGATTGCAGTCCGCCCACCCCCCACGAAGGTAACTGTGATCCCCCTGTCCTGGAGGTATCCAACACCCACCAAGTTCCGAGTGAACGAGGGGATGTGGAGGCCACGCAGGACACTAGAGGGGACCACAGGGCACGGGAGGGTGGTGGAGCTACGCGCGACGGCTGGTCCAGAGGTAGGATCAGCCAGAGCCACCGACACAGGTGTGAGCACTGGCGTAAGGGTCGTGTGGTCGCGGAAGAAGCACTGAGACGCGCCCGAGTCCAGCGTGAACGAAAGAGAGGCCTCAGCCGGTGGGTCACCCGACCCAGTCGCTACACAAGCACCTAGAGCAGCAACACAAGCACCTAAGCTAGACAGGCACAAGGCTACACTAGCAGGAGGCAAGCAGGCTAACCGACGAACACGTGAGCACCCAGATCCATCAGCACTAAAGTCAGCATCAACATACAAAGCATGCTGACGCGCATCGTCCATGGACTTAGCAAATACATCAATCTTACGGGTTAACAGACGAGACCAGCGAGGCGTGACCGCCAGAGGGCCCCAACAAGCCCGGTAGAGGTCGTCGAGGCGGCGGAAGCACCGCGCGGCAGAGTGGTCGTCGCGACCACAGAGACAGGGGCTACCCGGCCCGGTGACGCACCAGTGGGTGCACGGGCCAGCGTCACGGCGAGGGGGACGAGGGGCCCAGCTGGAAGTACTGCTGCTGCGGCTGGTGCTCCCAGGGCCTCCCGGACCCCACTGCGGCGGGGGACCCCAGTGCTGCTGCAGACCCCACTGCAGCGGGGGCCCCCACTGCTGGAACTGCTGCGGCGCTTGCTGGTGCTGCTGTGGCTGCTGCTGCTGGGGGGGAACGCCCCCACCGGTCGGGCCACCACCTGTGGGTGGGCCTGTCTGTCCAGCACCTCCTCCAAGCCCCCCTCCCCTAGGTGCACCGCCGCCGCCGCCGCCTTCGCCACCACCGGCGCTCCCACCTCCACCGCCACCTCCACCGCCGCCTCCACCGCCTCCACCTCCCCCCTTCCCGCCCTTCTTGCCACTCTTGCCCTGTTTCTGCCAGTCTGCGGCAGAAACGCAAGCGGTGTCCTCAGAGACCGACACAGCAGCAGAAGCGCGGGTAGCGGTGAAAGTGGGAAGCTGAGGGGCGGCACACCCCGCAAAGAGACGGGGGGCCACCGCATCAGTGGCGGAGGCAACGGTGAGGAGACTGCTCTCGATGGTCCCTAGAGCAGTCGCTAGGAGGTCGATAGTGAGCTCAGTGGGGTGCTTCTGAAGAAGCGCGTCGCGGGCAGTGGCAAGGCGGTCAGGGAGGCGGGTGACTAACCAGTGCACAGTGAGCCACATGGGGGGGGGAGCAACAAGGAGCTGTGCGTCGGTATAGGCAGCACGGAAACCGGCGTCAAGCGAGCGGAGGTGAGTCACGAGATCGAAAACAGTCGCAAACAAGCCTAGGTCGGGAAACACAAACGGCATGAGGAGGCGACTGAGGGAGGCAGAGGAGGGGGTGGAGTAGCGGGCAACAATAGCATCCCACACCCCCTGGGCTGTCTCCACCTGGTCAAAGTGGGCGGCCTCAGTCGGGGGGAGAAGCTCCGACAGTGTGAGAGCGGCGGCAGCGTCACGCGAGAGCCACACGTCCCTGGCCGGGACCCGACGGTCGTACTCCGCCTGGGCCGTAGGGGTCGGCTCCGGGGTGGTAGGCAGGGCGGCGAGGGACGGGGGGGCCTGTAGGGCACCAGACGCGTGAGCCCACAGAGTGGCGCCGTCCTGTCGCTGGCTGGTGAGGAAGCGCGTGGTCTGGCGCTGCCAGGTACCGAACTCGATCGGGCGTCCCTCAGCATCGAAACGGAGGCGACGGGCCTCCATAGCGGAGCCCATGCTAGAGGCGACTGGAGCACGGCGGAGGCGGAGCTAAGAACGAGGAGGAAAACTACGGAGGGCTAGGGACGCCAGCGGGGAAACCGACGAGAGACAGTCGGCGAGAAAATAGTCGTGGGGCGGGGCTCTAACCGAACCTAGGTGGCGCTACCGGAGGGAAGAGCGGCTGCCAGCCGCTGAGCCGGGAGCCAAGAGCAGTATGAATGGTGTGAGACCGGTGCACAGGTGAAGGTAAGAGAGATGCAGTAAGCGCACAGAGTGATGCGGTAAGTGTACGCAAGTGTGCGGGAAGCGCACGCAGGTGTGCGGTGAGTGTACGCATGTGTGCAGTAAGTGCACGCAGGTGTGCGGTGAGTGCACGCGGTGTGTGGTAAGTGCACGCAGGTGTGCGGAAAGCACGCGCAGGTGTGCGAGAAGCGCACACAGAGTGATGCGGTAAGTGCACGCAGGCGTGCGGTAAGCGCACGCAGGTGTGTGGTAAGTGCACGCAGGTGTGCGGTAAGCGCACGACGGTCTAAGGAGGGCGCACGCGACGGTCTAAGGAGGGCGCACGACGGTCTAAGGAGGGCGCGCAACGGTTGAGGAGGGCGCGCGACGGTTGAGGAGGGCGCGCGGCGGTCTAAGGAGGGCGCACGACGGGTTTGGAGGGCGCGCGGAGGTCTAAGGAGGGCGCGCGACAGACTGGACAGCGCGGGAGGGCGCGGGCTAGGCGCGAGGAGAGAGCGCGGAGGGCGCGGAGGGCGCGAGAGCACGGAGGGCGCGTAGGGCGCGGAGGCTAGCTAAAAACGAACGAGGATCTAACCTACTCGTGATACCATCTTAGAATAGGAATGCAACGGAATGTAAGGAATAGAAACGAATGGGGTACAAATAAGCAACCCTAGAAGCTGTACCCCCCTAGAGTGCAACTCACTACGGCCTATCTGTCAGAATATATCTGTAACTGCCTGTAGCTGTAGTTACTGTAGTTATTATAAACTTTGTTTGGTGGTGCACCTTCTTTGTTACTTCGCTATATGTTCTTGCAAACCTATAGTGAAGCCCTCATTCTCCTTCACAATTCTCTCGACACTCTCCTCACCCTCGAACTCAACTAAACCTAAGCTACTAAGACTCTCACTAGCTATGGCTCCTAAGCCCTCTAAACGCTAGTATCTTAACATGGTATTCAGAGCAGGTACGTTTCTGCTGCCTTCCTGCTTCCGCTGCCTATCGTCTTGCCGTGCGCCTCGGGTGCGCGGCAGAGGCGCACGGCGATTTTCTGCCCGCCGTGCGCCCTGGGCGCGCGGCGTCTTCCTGCCCCGCGCGTGGCCTGCCCTCACGCCGCATGCGCGCCTGCCTCACGTCCACGGGCGGGCCTGTTTTGCCCGCCCGTACCCTCCACTTCGCGGCGCTCTGCGAGGCGCCGCTCATGCTCGTCGCGACGCACCTGCGGGACCCGGGCGTCGCCGCTCCTGCTCGTCGCGACGCCCCTGCAGGACCCGCACGGCGTCGCCTTGCTCGTCGTGTCGCCACGCCGGGACCCGCGGGGCGTCGCCACTGCTCGTCGCGGCGCCCCCTGGACGCCGCCCCTTCTCGTCGCGGCGCCCCTGGGGCGTCGCCCCTACTCGTAGCGGCACCCCTTGGGCGCCGTTCCTACTCGTCGCGGCGCCCTCCCCCCTGGCCACCGCCTCTGCCTCACCTGCGCCCGCGCCAGCGTTGCAGCCGAGCGCGGGCCTATCTTGCACCAGCGCCGCCCCTGCACCTCAGCAACAGCCCCTGGAGCAGCCGCCCCAGCAGCAGCAGCCCCTGGAGCCGCCGCCCCAACAGCAGCAGCCCCTGGAGCCGCCGCCACTGCAGCGGCCGCCCCAGCAGCAGCAGCGCCTGGAGCAGCCGCCCCAGCAGCAGCAGCCCCTTGAGCCGCCGCCCCAGCAGCAGCAGCGCCTGGAGCAGCCGCCCCAGCCGCAGCAGCCCCTGGAGCCGCCGCCCCAACAGCAGCAGCCTCTGAAGCTGCCGCCACTGCAGCGGCCGCCCCAGCAGCAGCAGCGTCTGGAGCAGCCGCCCCAGCAGCAGCACCGCCTGGAGCAGCCACCCTAGCAGCAGCAGCCCCTGGAGCCGCCGCCCCAACAGCAGCAGCCCCTGGAGCCGTCGCCACTGCAGCGGCCGCCCCAGCAGCAGCAGCGCCTGGAGCAGCCGCCCCAGCGCCTGGAGCAGCCGCCCCAGCAGCAGCCCACGGCGCCGACCCCACAGCTGTATGCACCGCTGCTCCTGGACTCGGTACGGCTGCCCGTGCCTGTACTGCCTGTTGCTGTCTGTGCCTATGCTGCCTGTTGCTGCCTGTGCCTGTGCTGCCTGTTGCCGCCCGTTGCTGCCCGTGCCTGTGCTGCCCGTTGCCGCCCGTTGCTGCCCGGGCCTGTGCTGCTTGTTGCTGCCTATTGCTGCCCGTGCCTGTGCTGCTTGTTGCTGCCTGTTGCTGCCTGTGCCCGTGCTGCCCGTTGCTGTCCGTTGCTGCCCGTGCCTGTGCTGCCCGTTGCTGCCCGTTGCTGCCCGTGCCTGTGCTGCCTGTTGCTGCCCGCGCCTGTGCTGCCTGTTGCCGCCCGTTGCTGCCCGTGCCTGTGCTGCCCGTTGCCGCCCGTTGCTGCCCGTGCCTGTGCTGCCCGTTGCCGCCCGTTGCTGCCCGTGCCTGTGCTGCCCGCTGCTGCCTGTTGCTGCCTGTGCCTGTGCTGCCTGTTGCTGCCTGTTGCTGCCCGTGCCTGTGCTGCCTGTTGCCGCCCGTTGCTGCCCGTGCCTGTGCTGCCCGTTGCCGCCCGTTGCTGCCCGTGCCTGTGCTGCTTGTTGCTGCCTGTTGCTGCCCGTGCCCGTGCTGCCCGTTGCTGCCCGTGCCTGTGCTGCCCGTTGCTGCCCGTGCTTGTGTTGCCCGTGCTTGTGTTGCCCGTTGTTGCCTGTTGCTGCCCGTGCCTGTGCTGCCCGTTGCTGCCTGTTGCTGCCTGTGCCTGTGCTGCCTGTTGCTGCCTGTTGCTGCCCATGCCTGTGCTGCCCGTTGCCGCCCGTTGCTGCCCGTGCCTGTGCTGCCCGTTGCTGCCCGTGCCTGTGCTGCCTGTTGCCGCCCGTTGCTGCCCGTGCCTGTGCTGCCTGTTGCCGCCCGTTGCTGCCCGTGCCTGTGCCGCCCGTTGCCGTCTGCTGCTGCCCGCGCCCTCGTGCGCCCTGCTGCTGCCCGCGCCCTTGTGCGCTCTGCTCTGCCTGCGCCCTCGTGCGCTCTGCTGCTGCCCGCGCCCTCGTGCGCCCTGCTGCTGCCCGCGCCCTCGTGCGCCCTGCTGCTGCCCGCGCCCTCGTGCGCCCTGCTGCTGCCCACGCCCTTCTGCGCTCTGCTCTGCCTGCGCCCTCGTGCGCTCTGCTGCTGCCCGCGCCCTCGTGCGCCCTGCTGCTGCCCGCGCCCTTGTGCGCTCTGCTCTGCCTGCGCCCTCGTGCGCTCTGCTGCTGCCCGCGCCCTCGTGCGCCCTGCTGCTGCCCGCGCCCTTGTGCACTCTGCTCTGCCTGCGCCCTCGTGCGCTCTGCTGCTGCCCGCGCCCTCGTGCGCCCTGCTGCTGCCCGCGCCCTTGTGCGCTCTGCTCTGCCTGCGCCCTCGTGCGCTCTGCTGCTGCCCGCGCCCTCGTGCGCCCTGCTGCTGCCCGCGCCCTTGTGCGCTCTGCTCTGCCTGCGCCCTCGTGCGCTCTGTTCTGCTCTGTCGCCCCTGCCCCCCCCCCCCCCCCCCCCCCTTCTTCGTCTCCTTGCTGCGCGTGCAGCCGTGGAACGGAGGCTATGGGGGTGGCGGGTATGGGGGTGATGGGTGTGTGTGATCCCCTTCCCCTCCTCCTCCTTTCTCTCCCACTGCTGCAGCTGCCGCTGGGGGGGGGGGTGGGTGTGAGGGTGTGGGGGAGCTGGGGGAGAGGTGCTAGGGTTGTCAAGGAGTGTGGAAGGGGGAGTTGGAGGACTGAGGAAGGTTCTAGGAAGCAGCCACCTTGGAGCCAGCAGCTTCTCCTCATATAGTCCCTCCTCCTCACTTGCCCTCTCCTTCTGCTGCGCTTGGTGTACCCCTTCAGGGGGTGTCTCTGCATTAGCTTCTGCTGCAGGCAGTTATGGGGGAGTGTCAGAATATATCTGTAACTGCCTGTAGCTGTAGTTACTGTAGTTATTATAAACTTTGTCTGGTGGTGCACCTTCTTTGTTACTTTGCTATATGTTTCTGCAAACCTATAGTGAAGCCCTCATTCTCCTTCACAATTCTCTCGACACTCTCCTCACCCTCGAACTCAACTAAACCTAAGCTACTAAGACTCTCACTAGCTATGGCTCCTAAGCCCTCTAAACGCTAGTATCTTAACACTATCACATCAATGTGCAACATTTGAGACACGAGTGACGGCCCTGGCTTGCACCATCACCTCCCTCCCTCACATGCACCAATCACCTCCAAGCAGACACAGCCAGCACCGGCTGTCCTTTCCACATGAGCCTCGCTGCACCCCCCACCGACACCACTTCAAATCTCCCATCCCTCCCCTCCGTAGTCTCCCTCATAGCAGCCAATGCTTCCCTCCCCAGCCCCACCTCCTCAAACCCTAACCTCCCCATCCGCTCCTCCCACTGCTCCAGCCTCTCGGCGCGTATCAGCCGTTGGATCCCCTCGCATCCGACGCAGTTGATGAGCTCGCGGAACATCAGCCCCTCCCAGATGAAACGGACGGGCGAGATCGCGGAATCGGGCATGGTGGCATGGACGGCTGAGATGAAAGCAAGCATGGTGCGGAAGATTTCGCGGACGCGGGCGAGGAAGAAGGGGCCATTGAGGGCCGCGTCGACCTCTGCTAGGAGGACAAGGCGGGGCTTGAGGGCTTGGATCCACTGGAGGGGTTTGGAGGGGTTTGTCGGGGTTGGGATTGAATGGAAGGGAAGGGAAGGGGAGAAGGGGCTGTTGAGGGCTGCGTCAACCTCTGCTAGCAGCCCCAGGCGGGGCTTGAGTGCCTGGATCCACTGGAGGGGTTTGTAGGGGTTTGGGTGGAAGGGAATGGAAGGGTTTTGAGAGGAGACAGAAACAACCTCTGCTGGCAGCCCCAGGCGTTGCTTGAGTGCCTGGATCCACTGGAGGACAGGGTACGGTGGAGAAGGATAGGGAGGGAGAGAGATGAAGAGGGGGTCGTGTTTTGAGCTGACTCAAAACAGGGTGAGAGATGAAGAGGGGGTCGTGTTTTGAGCCGACTCAAAACAGGGGAGAGATGAAGAGGGGGTCGTGTTTTGAGCCGACTCAAAACAGGGCGAGAGATGAAGAGGGGGTTGTGTTTTGAGCCGACTCAAAACAGGGCGAGAGATGAAGAGGGGGTCGTGTTTTGAGCCGACTCAAAACAGGGTGAGAGATGAAGAGGGGGTCGTGTTTTGAGCCGACTCAAAACAGGGTGAGAGATGAAGAGCGGGTCGTGTTTTGAGCCGACTCAAAACAGGGTGAGAGATGAAGAGGCGGTCGTGTTTTGAGCCAACTCAAAACAGGGGAGAGATGAAGAGGGGGTCGTGTTTTGAGCCGACTCAAAACAGGGTGAGAGATGAAGAGGGGGTCGTGTTTTGAGCCGACTCAAAACAGGGTGAGAGATGAAGAGGGGGTCGTGTTTTTAGCCGACTCAAAACAGGGTGAGAGATGAAGAGGGGGTCGTGTTTTGAGCCGACTCAAAACAGGGTGAGAGATGAAGAGCGGGTCATGTTTTGAGCCGACTCAAAACAGGGAGAGAGATGAAGAGCGAGTCATGTTTTGAGCCGACTCAAAAAGAGCATGAGCGACCAGAGGGAGCATGCCACAACCACCACCTCGTTTTTTGCAAGCTATCCAACTTCTGTCTCACCTGCACCCCTTAACCTCTCAACATAAACACCACATCGCACCTTGAGCACGGCATCTCGTGGGTTGTGCCGGAGAACCGAGTCATCTGGAAAGAGCATGAGCGTCCAGAGGGAGACCACCACCACCTCCTCCCCCGGATGAACCTTCACCATGCCTGGATGCAGCGACTCCAGAGGCACATCCACCATCTCAAACGTCAAGGGCAGCCCCAAAACTTTTGCGAGCTGCCCGAAGAACTGGTGGCCGAAGGTGGAGGCGTCGAGGGCAGAGTCGAGCTGCACTGTGCCGCCGTTGATGCCTGTCACGCGGATGGAGAGGGGTGGGGTCGGATGGGGGTGCTGCTGCTGCTGCTGTCGCTGCTTGTGATGATGTTGAGAACGAGTATTTTCCTCCTCATGCGGCTGCTGCTGCTGTGCCGTAAACCTTTTCTTTGCAACTTTCCTTTCCCGTCCTGAAAACAGGACAGCATGAGCAGCAGCAGCAGACTCCAAAGGAGTACAACTGCTGCATTTACCTGTACCTACCCCCCTTCCACCACTGCCACTGCCACTGCCACTGCCACTGATGCTGCTACTGCTCCTTTGCCTTCCTCCACACATGGTACAGGTGCCTCTTCCGCTGCTGCGACTGCTGCTGCCAGGCTCACTCGCTGTGGTGCTGGTTCCTGGACTGGCAGCAATCGTGGTGGCAGTGGCCGCAGCAAGGGTGGGAGCAGCAGAGGAAGGAGGAGCATGAGCAGATGCAGAAGAGGCAGAAGCAGAAGCAGCACCAGCAGCAGCAGCAGAGGCGGCAGCAGCAGGGAAGCCACAGGCAGTGGCGATGCGACAGAGGAGGGAAGCCCACTGAGGCGCACCGATGATGCCAAACATCACCACGTGAATGCGGCGCGGGGAAAGTGACATTGCTGCAGCTGTTGTTGCTGCTGCTTGTGGTGGTGGTGGTGGTGGTGGTGGTGCTGCTGCTGCTGCTGCTGCTGTTGGAGGTGCAGATGGTGTTGCTAGTGGTGCCGTGCATGTGGCAGTGGTGCAGAGAGCACGAGGCACCTCATGGAGGAGAGCAGCAAAGGCAAAGTTGATCCACACGATGCTTGTCTCATGGGAGTGGCCCACTGCTGCCATCATATCTTCTGCAGACTGTGTGTGGTGAAGAGCGGTTGAGAGAGACAGGGAGGTGTTATGAGGGGGTTTAGAAGTTGATCCACACGATACTGGTCTCGTACGAGCGCCCCATTGCTGCCATCACATCTATTGCGCTCTGTGTAAGAGAGGAAAAAGGGATAGAGGGAGGTGTTTTGAGGTGCTTGCCTCGAGAGTTGATCCTGCACACCATGTTGGTCTCATCTCATAGGAGTAACCCACTGCTGTTATCACATCTGCTGCACACTGTGGGAGGTAAAGAGTGGTGGAGAGCGATAGGATGTGTTCTGAGGTGCCTCGAGAGTCGAATCACACGATGGTCTCTCATGGGAGTGACCTACTGATGCTAGCTAGCAAATCTGCTGCGCTCTTTGTGCAAGTGCGAGAGGGAAAGGAGAGATAGTCCAGGCCGAGAGGGGTGTTGAGGTGCCTCCAGAGTGGTGTCTCAAGACTTGACCGTTGATCTACCATACAATGTTGGTCAGTAGTCCTGTCCGGATAGCCCACTGCAGCCACCGCATCTGGCACAGACTGTGCGTGGGAGAAAGGGGAAGATGATGGGAGGCTGAGAGCGTAAGAAACAAAGGGCTTGGGCAAATGGGCGAGAGATGGAAAGAGAAGGAGGGAAGAAGAGTGAGACACTGTAGATTCGAGCCTCAAAGCTACAAGCTTCCCGTCCTTAGCAACAAATTTTGCAACTCGATTTCCTATTGTTGGAGGTGAGTTTCGAAAATTCCTGCCCCCCCTGCCAGTGATTTCATTGATATGGACTGTATAAGTGATTGTGAACTCAGAAACAGACTATGCTACCTTTGCTCATTTTACTATATTAACGGTAAATGTATGAAATGTCATTCCAAGGAGGACCTATCAAAGGTGAAAGACCATGGCTTTGAGCAGCGGGTGAACGCAATACCAGTACAATAAGCCGTCAACACATGCTTACTTCCGTACGCCAAAACATGGTGGATGTTTGAGACTCTATATTAGCTACAAAGGCAAGATCTTCTAGGCGAGTACATGATCTTGAGATATGGTGGTCAGTTTAGTGGGTTCTATAATAAGATTTTAAAGCATCGAGAGTTCTCGCTGTCATATCAAGTTCTCTTGCTCTCGTCCCACCAAGATTGATCTCAAATTTAATCAAGAATGCATACGACAGCGAAAACTCCCGAGGCTTTAAAATTACATGGAAAAACTTACTGAATCGACCACCAAATTTCAAGATCTTGTACTCATCTAAAAAAATCCTCTTGCCTTTGTAGAAAATATGAAGTTCAAAATTTCCACCATGTCTTGGCATAAAGAAGAAAATCTGTGCCACTGACAGCTGATTCTACTGATTTGGCATAGAAGTATCAGTGCCTGACACGGTGTTTACAAGTTGCTCCAAGCTGTGACCTTTCACCTTCAAATGTCCTCCTTGGAATGACATATCATACATTTCCCGTCAGTATAGTGAAACGAAAAAATATAATAGGTGTCTAGATTCGATGACACAATCTCTACCTATAGAAGCACTTGTAGGGGGGCAAGTAGGACGGGGGGTCGAATGGGAGAGAGTAAGCGATAGAGCTTGAGTGGATGTTGAGTGTTGAGGTTAGGGTACCGTATATTTCCCCAAGTTCCAATACACCTATTTGAGGATATGCTTTCATATCCCCTACCATCCAGACGTTGTACGAGCCACATTACTGGCGTTCAATCCAACATACATTCCAGCATAACGCTCACTGCACACCAAGAATCAACCCAAAAGCCAGGACCACACCAAAAGCCGGGACCACACCAAAAGCCAGGACCACACCAAAAGCCGGGACCACACCAAAAGCCGGGACCACACCAAAAGCCAGCTCCACAGAAACCCATCTCCCAGCCCCACCTTGACTTGGAACTCGATGGGTGCTCGCCACTTGATAGCAGCAGTGCCGTCCGCCCTCGCCTTCAGAGCCTGCAGCATGTACCATGCCATGCGCTGCCACCCTCCCCTCACCAACCAACACCCCACCTTCTCACCTTCACTTGGAACTCAATAGGTGCTCGCCACTTGACAACAGCAGTGCCATCCGCCCTCGCCTCCAGAGCCTGCAGCATGTACCATGCCATGCGCTGCCACCCTCCCCTCACCAACCAACACCCCACCTTCTCACCTTCACTTGGAACTCAATAGGTGCTCGCCACTTGACAACAGCAGTGCCATCCGCCCTCGCCTCCAGAGCCTGCAGCATGTACCATGCCACGCGCTGCACCACATCCCCCTCCGCACTCGCCTCCCCCCGCACCTTCTTCCCCCACCTCCGCACCAGCGCCCAGTCCCCCACTGCGTGCGCCTCTGCTAGCGCCAACACGTGTTGCCGCAGGCGCCGCTCCCTCTCCTCCTCCCTGCTGGACTGTGAGGGGACGCCCACGCAACGGAGGGATGACTCTGCGAAGATGGAGAAGTCGAATTGAAGGTTTGGGCGGAGGTGGAGAGCGGTGGTGAGGGGTGGGTTTTGAGTGGAGGGGGCGTGAGAAGGTGGGGAAATGGAGGAAGTTGGGGGATGTGAGGAGAGGGTGAGGCCGGGTGGATGGTGGCGGAGTCGGGAGGCTAGGGTGTCTTGAGTTACAAGTTGAACGTGCTGGGTCTGAAGCTGGTGGAGTGGGACGGAACCTTGCTGCTGCTGCTGAAGCTGCAATCGCCCCTGCAGTGGTGCTCTTGACTGCACCAGCTGCAAAGTCCTGTGCTCGTTCCCCTGCTGCCGCTGCTGCTGTATTGTCTGCAGCTGCCAGTGTGTCTGCTGCTGCTGCTGCTGATGCTGCTGCTGCTGCTGCTGCTGCTGGTCATGCTGAATCGGCTGCTGGTGTTGCCACTGCGTTTGCTGCTGCTGCTGAATCGGCTGTTCCTGCTGCATCTGCATCTGCTGCCGCTGTTGCAGCAGCATCAGCTGCTGCTGCTGCCTCTGCTGCTCCTCCATCACCCCCTGCAGCTCCTTCAACCGTTCAAGCCCACTAGACAGGCTCTGCAGCACACCCACCAACTCCAATGCCGTACCTGTCCCAACCCCCCCTTGCACATCACCCCTAGCTGCTGGTAAGCCTCCCCCTCCTACTACTACCCCCTCTGCTACCCCCCTTGCTTCCCCTTGACCTGCTCTCACACCCGAACCCATGCTTGGTTTTTCAAGCATGGTCGTCTGGTCAGGTGCAACGCCGACATCATCCATCCCCTTTGCCTGAACTTCACTGTATTCCGTGTCTGAGTTACCACTTTCTGGGCCTGATACCAAGCCTTTATTCGAGCTTGATTGCGTGGCTCGGTTGCCTGGCATGGGCCGAGCCGCCGGCCGAGGCTTGGTAGAGATTTCACGGATTATTGACGCCAGGCGAGTGGTCAGATCGCCCCTGCGAATCTTGCCAGGAGGTGACGTGTCCCTGGGAAGGTTCGTAGAACCGAATGGAAGCTTCTTAATTCTGGAAGGAAGCTTCTCCGGTACTGCTGTATCAGGAGGATTTCTTTCGTAAAACGGGATTTGTGTGGTCCTCTCAATCCTCTCAATCTCCGATGGGATAAATGACTGAAAAGGAGGATTAGGTGGAGAGGGAAAACTAAGAGCTGCTGGGGATGGTGACGTGTCAATCAGGGTATCGATGTCAGTTGGTGACGTGTCAAGAATGGCTTCTAAATCGCATCCACTGAGGGGAGAGTCAGCTGACGAGCCTGGAGGAATCACCAACGGGATTTCCACGTCACCAATCATCATAACACTTGGGTTTGCCACGTCAGATGGTACGCTTGTGAGCTCACCACGTGGCTGCCCTTCTTCGTTAACAGTTTCAGATGCAATAAGAGAAACTGGTTCGTAGCAATCTGTATCGGTGTTGATGATATCGAAGCCTTCGATCTCACACCCGCGGCCAAAATGTCCAGCCGAATCTTGGCTCGAATCTCCGCCAAAACGACGCTGATCTAGCAGGAAATCCTCCTCCATACTTCCCCCAGGAAACTCCTTTCGTCCGCCTACCTTTCAACCCTAATCCAAATTCGGGCGACCACAAGCGAAATAGTTTTTTCGAGCGCTGTTCTAAGACGGCACTTCACTCGATTCGAACCAATTTAGCTACGAGCCGCGGAGATATGAGGAGGCTGGCGAACCCAGAGACTTCAAAACGCCTATCTGCTGGCTCCACGGCTGCGTACTGTTACTCATGACTGACTCTCGAGTAATCCTTCACCCCCCAAATGCTCGATCAAGATTGACAGTCATTTCTGTTCGGGTGACATTCGTTAAATGTCGCAGTGTTATCACCATCAGTGCTGCGTCCGTCGCTATCGACAACATCGGCATCGCCACCATCGTTACACAGCAGCGACGACAGGCTCGGCATCCAGGCTGCCGTGCAGTTCGCCTGCAGAGCGAGATTCCTTGACTGGCAGGAAGGAGGCTGGCGATCAACTATCAGTAATCGCTCAGTGCGGTTCAGTAGGGTTTCGTACAGTACAGAGCGGGGTCTAGTATGTACCGCTTTGGACCGTAGCTAAACGAACACCTGCAATCCTTCAGTGTGCCATGTGCAATGAGGTTCGAAAAGGAGAGGAGCCAGCCAGACAACCATGGTGTACCGCATCGATTGACTCTAAACAATCTGACATCCATCTGTATCTTTGACCTGAAAAGAGTAAACACATTCAGGCGTGATGGCCGTCATTTGTCTGTCAGCCTACGAAAACAATCGAGGATTGAATTCACCTGGATTCGATAAAGCTCAGTGAGCTGAGTCCAAAATACATCCAATTACAAAATTGGTACATGTCATCATGAAACATTCAATGGGTATTTATCACAGCCACACGTCTGCTAGTGCGGCGTGCATGTAGCCACACGTGGTATTTCTGTTGGGCTAAGAAAAGCCCTTAGGATATTTGCAGGGGTGAACTCTGGGTAGGACTGATGTAATAGCGGAAGCGATTAGTGAAGAATTGTGAACCACCTTGCGCTAGTATGTGAGGGCAAAGTCGATTGATTAAAGCAAAGAGATACAGGATTATATAAGAGTACAAGGAATGTGAAGAGATACAGTTATAACTGCTTTACTGTTGCTGTTGCGGTTCGATACAATGACGAATTGGGCAACTGCTCTGTAGCGAGTTGTCAGATTATTATAGCTGATGCATGTTTGTAGGCTATAGTGGGGTAGCACATATGGGGTACAGCTTTCTAGGGTTGTATTTGTACCCAACTCTGACTTAGTCATTTCATTCCTGTTCATTCTTTTCACATGGTATAGAGCGGGTCCCTCCTAAGGACCGTTTTTTTTTAAGGGCCCACCCACGATTTTTTTTTTTTCCTGCCCGGAGCGCGCCCTATTCTCCCCGAGGCGCGCTCCCCCCTAGTGCTTGTCGCGCTGCCCTTGTGGCGCCCCGAGAGTCGCGCGCGCGACTCCTTTTTTTTCGCGCGCGCGGCCCGGGCCTCACGTCGCGCTGGCCTTACGGCCGCGCCGCGCCGCCCTCTCGGCTCTGCCGCGCCGCGCCGCCCTCACGCCGGCCGCGCGGCCTCTTTGTCGCTGCAGCGGGCCCCGTCACCTGACGGCCCCGCCGTCCTACTCCCGGCCCCGCCGCTGCACCCTGCCGGCCCCGCCGCTGCACCTCTGTCGGCCCCGCCGCTGCACCCTAACGGCCCCGCCGTCCCCTGTCACGGCCCCGCCGTCCCCTGTCACGGCCCCGCCGCTGCACCCTGACGGCCCAGCCACTGCACCAGTCGGCCCCGCCGCTGCACCCTGACGGCCCCGCCGTCCCCTGTCCCGGCCCCGCCGCTGCACCCTGCCGGCCCCGCCGCTGCACCCTGACGGCCCCGCCGTCCCCTGTCACGGCCCCACCGCTGCACCCTGCCGGCCCCGCCGCTGCACCCTGACGGCCCCGCCGTCCCCTGTCCCGGCCCCGTCCTGCACCCGAGCCGCCCTGCCGCCGAGCCGCCCGGGAGCCGAGCCGCCCTGCACCCGAGCCGCCCTACCGCCGAGCAGCCCGGGAGCCGAGCCGCCCTGCACCCGAGCCGCCCTGCCGCCGAGCCGCCCAGGCGCCGAGCCGCCCTGCACCCGAGCCGCCCTGCCGCCGAGCCGCCCGGGAGCCGAGCCGCCCAGCAGCCGAGTCACTGAGTCGCCGAGCCGCCCTTCTGCAGAGTTTCCTGGCCTGCCCTGCCTGGTGAGCACAGTCGCACTGTCACTGCGTGCTCTTCCCCTACTGCTTGCACTGCTTTGCTGTCGTCGTCATGGCTACCCCTAGTGTCCTAGCTTTTGACGCTGAGGGTCGCGCCATTGATTTTGAGGTCTGGTTAGACGACCTGCAGCTGTTCTTACAGTGCGACAGGGCTGACGGCCTTTCTCTCTTTGACCTCACCTCTGGCGCCTCTCCTACTCCTGCTGCTGATGCTGATCCCACTGTCCGCTCTCAGTGGGCCACTCGCGATGCTGCTGCACGTCTTGCTGTGCGTCGCCACCTCCCTACCTCTGAGTGTGCGCACTTTAGTCAGTACAAGAGTGCTCAGACCTTGTACGACGCTGTAGTTGCGCGCTACTCCTCCCCTGCCACTGCTGCACTGAGCCGCCTCATGCTTCCCTACCTCTTTCCTGACCTCTCTGCCTTTCCCACTGTCGCTGATCTCATTACGCACCTCCGCACTAGTGACACTCGCTACCGCGCCGCCCTTCCTGCTGAGTTCTGCGCTAAGAACCCACCCCCCATGTACATCGCTCTCTACTACGTAGTCACGCGCCTCCCTGACTCCCTTCGCGTCGTCAGGGACCACTTTCTCGCAGTCTGTCCCACCACCCTCACCGTCGACCTCCTCGAGAAGGCCCTCCTCGCAGCGGAGAAGAGCATAGTTGCTGTAGGTGCTTCTCGTGGTGACCCTCGCACCCCCATCTTTGAGGGGTGCTCTCCTTCCCCCTTGCTGCCCTCTGTTGCCTCTGCTGCTGCTGCCGACCTGCTTGGTCTTGAGTCGGTCGGCGCGGCGTCTGCCCCTAGTGGGAGACGTCGCTCCAGCAAGGGCAAGGGGGGCAAGGGCGCGGGTGGAGCTGGAGGGGGCGGTGGCGGTGGCGGCGGTGGCGGCGGAGGGAGTGGGGGTGGCGGCGGGACTAGTGGCGGGGGTGGTGGTGGTGGTGGTGGCAGCAGCGGCGGAGACGGTGGTAGTGGTGCCAGCGGTGGTGGTGGAGGCAGCGGCGGAGGTGGAGGCGGCGGAGGTGGAGGCGGTGGAGGCGGCAGCGGAGGAGGCAGTGGTGGTGGAGGAGGTGGAGCTGGTCGGGGTGGTACCCAGCAGCGTAGCAGCGGTGGTGGTGGCCAGCGCTCGCAGCGGCAGCAGCAGCTGCGCTCGCGGGACATCCCTTCGCCTCAGCAGCTTCGTGAGTGGTACGCTGGGCGTCAGAGGGGTGGGGGTACTGGTCCCTGCACCTACGTTCTTCGTTCCGGCGACCGCGCGGGTGAGCAGTGTGGGGGTGCCCACGCTGCCCAGCGCTGCTTTGGCCGCCTGACGGACGCTTGGCGTCAGCAGTTCCCTGGGGCTACTGAGATCCCTCGCTGGGATGAGCTTCTTAGGGCTGGTGTAGCGATCTTTGATCTTGATTTTGATGCTATCCTTGCTGCTATGTATGCTGTGACTTATAGTGAGGAGAATGAGGGTTACCGGTGTTTCCAGCCCGACCCGGGCATTGGTACTGCTGCGCTAGGTGCTTGTGAGGCTGCTGCTCTAGGTGCCAGTGCGTCTGCGCTCTCAGGTACTGGTGAGACTGCGCTCTCAGGTACTGCGTCGTCCTCGTCCTCCCTCACTTTCACACTTGACTCCGGGGCTTCTCGCTCCTTCTTTCGAGACCGCACTACCCTTACGCCGCTCGACCGGCCGGTTGCAGTCTCCCTTGCTGACCCCTCTGGGGGTCCTGTCCTGTCTCACTTCTCCACTGTCCTCCCGTGTCCGGCTGCCCCTTCGGGCACCCTGTCTGGTCTGTACCTTCCCTCGTTCTCTACGAACTTGGTGAGTGGCGCGGACCTGCAGGATGTGGGGTTTCACCAGTTCATTCCTGCGAGTCAGCGGGTGACCCACTGCACGGAGGCACGCACAGGCCGACACCTGGCCACGTTCTCGCGTCGGCCGGGGTCGAGTCTCTACACCCTGACCGTTGAGTCTCCTCCTGTCTCTGTGTCTGGTCAGGTGGCTGCGTCTGGTCAGGTGCTTGCTGC